CCCAGTATCTCCATCTGCATCCAACCCGTCCCAAACCGTTTACCAGCTACACCTTGGAACCATCCCAACGCTTGGTATGTAAACGGTTTAGGGTTTAGGGTTTAGGGTTTAGGGTTTAGGGTTTAGGGTTTAGGGTTTAGGGTTTAGGGTTTAGGGCTTAAGGGCCAACACCTATAAGCCCCAAACCTTGACTGAACTTAAACCCCTGAGACTTAGACCCCAGGGGTCAGGCCTGGAGCTAATTCCTTGAGAGCTCTTGGAGTTCTGGTTTGTGCATTTGAGGATTCAAGTTTAAATTCCATGAAAGCTCTGCCATGCACTGCGTAAGGCTAAGCCGGGTTGGTTTATAGGGTTTGCCGGGTTCATGGGGTTTTTCGGGTTTACAGGGTTGATTGAGTTTATAAGGTTTATAGGGCTTATAGGGTTTGCAGGGTTTAGCGGAGGGTTTACAAGGTTATGGAGTTTAGGGTTTAGGGAAGGTTTAGGATGCGTTTGGGGTTTAGAAGACCCTAAACCCTAAACCCTAAACCCTAAACCCTAAGCCCTAAGCCCTAAACCCTAAACCCTAAACCAGGGCATTCAGACTAAAATGGCCTCGGCGGTTCATGCGGCTGCGACGGGCCAGGTGCACGCGACCGCCGCGGGTCAGGATCATCTCGCTTGGCGCGTGGAAGACGGCCACCTTTAGGACTAACTGGGGGTTCTGGTGTCAGGGTTTAGGGTTGGGGTTTAGGGTTTAGAGTTTAGGGTTTAGGGTTTGGGGTTTGGGGTTTAGGGTTTAGGGTGTTGGGTTTCGGGCCTTAAGTTCAATTTCCAAGATAAGCCCAAAAGGAAACAATCCTTATATACCCTCTGAATATGAGAACCATGAGAACCACAACGGCGACCGAGGGTAACGTACCGCTGAGGGGCTTCGGGGATGTAGCTGGGAAATGCTTTGGGATGTTTGGGGCTTTGGGGTTCAGGGTCTCAAGGCTTCTTACACATAGGGACTTTGGGGGAGTTGCTTTGAGGCAAAGGACACCGGGGGGGGGGGGGGAACCCTCAATGGAGCTTGCAGGCATGAAGCCGGCGCATCTGGGTGAAAGCCGATGTCGAGGACACGGTGAGGCCCCGGTATGGTCGCCACATCCGTCAGCTGGCGCGCCTGGTTGCGGCTGCAGAGGATGAGGTCGCCTGGCCGCAAGCTTTGGGCTTACGCTTCTGTCTGGCCCTGGCCAGGCGTGACCACACGGTGGGTTGGGGAAATTCGGAGAGGCGCCGTGTAGGCACCGGTTCGGAGCTCCAGGATTTCTGGTACCTGGTGCTCCACCACCCGCGTCACCCGGACAGTCTGCCCATCTGCGGCCATTACACATGAGCCGGGGGCCAAATGCTGGGCGTGGAGGAAGTAGGTGTCGTCCAAGCCGCCTGCACTCACCTGGAAGAGCGCCTCGGGCAGGAAGCACTGAGGCCCGGCGCGAGCAGAGGAGATGAAGGACCAAGAATCGTCATCTGATGGAGCACGCCCAGGAATCCCAGGAATGCTGGCTGCCACGCTCACCTGAGAAACCGAGTCCTCGGGTCGAATGCTGTCTATGGGAGCCCGGAACCCCGCGCGCACCTCGCCCAGGATCTGCTCCAGGGCTTGGTTGTAGAAGTCCTCCACCGGCAAGAAGTACTCGACGTTGCGGTCCACCATCCGCGTGGCAGTTCTGTAGCGGGTCACGCCCCTCTGCCTGGTGACCGGCCGGTACCGTGTCACCTCGCGCGTCCTCTGCACGGCACGGTAACGCGTCACGTCGCGGTGCCGGGTGACTGACCTCAGCTTCTGCACTTGGACAGGGACGCTTCTGGTCTCCTGAACTGTGTAGGTCTTCCTGCCTCCTAAAGCCCCGGCAAGGCCCCCTCGTCTCTTCGTATGCTGCACGTCCACTGGGATGTTCTGATACACCGTCTCCGTGTAGGGTTCGTTCTCTTGATACGCCTCCTGCTCTGTGTACGGCTCCTGCTCCGTGTAGGCCTCGTGAGCGGTGTAGGGCTCCTGCTCTTCGTAGTCCTCCTGGTCGATGTATTCCTCCGCACACCTGACGAAAGCAGGCGTCTCAACGACACGCGATGACCAAAGCATCGCAAACCCTCAGCCGTGAAAACTCCATGAAAAAGCAGCTTCATGGCATTTCATGGCTTCGTGCTGATGATGTCATGCTTGCGTGCGAGCTGCTCCTCCTCCACTTGGACGACCCTCGTGCGCGCGGGCTGGCGATCGTAGAGCTCCTGCGCACGGCTCCGCTGCCGCTGCCAGAGGTCTTCCAACGCCGACGTAGAGACACCTGTGAAGGGGACAGGAGGGGGACAGGGATATCGAGGGACATTTTGGGCCCACAGACGACTTTCCCTGTTCACCTGGGACTTGGCGGAGGGCCGCTTGCAGCTCTGCGAGCTCTGCCTGCACGCCGGCTGCATCTAGGCTCTCCCCATGCTGCCAAACCACCAACTGGGCGACGCCCTGCTCGGCCATGACAGCGCGCAGGGCCTGCAGCCGCACTTCGCGCGCGGGACCCGTGCGCAGGTCCGCTTGCGAGGCCACGACCACTACGCCCGGCAGGACGGCAGCACCGAAGATGGTCACAAGGGATGCCAGCGACCTCCGCAACTGCACGGCGGGAGACGCCAAGCTCTCAAAGACCAAGAACTTCAGCCGCTGGACATTGAGGGCCGCCACCCCCGCCGCATAGCGCATCCCGGCCTCCTCGTCGGTGAAGCGCATCATGGAGTCGTTGTCGCCGGCCATCTGCCACGAGGCCGATGGACGTCTGGCGAGTCGCCACGTCGTGGGTCACGGACTCGCCAGAGCCGTCCCCAGTCGCCACAGCCACTCCGCGTGCAGCACCATCCAGCAGCACCTCAGCCAGGGTGGGCGTGCAAAGATAAAGATGTTTAGAAAGCCTTGTGCTGAAAAAATGAAAAAACGAAAACCTTGGGGGCGAGACGGCAGGCCACGTCTGTGCCGCGATGCCGTGCAGCCGGGGCGCCATGTTCATGAAGGTCGACTTTCCCGTCTGCGAAGGGCCGCGGAGCACGAGGGCTTCGGCGGCATCGGCCATGGCTTCCTTGAGCTTCCTTCAACGACGCGGAGCCAGCACGACGTGATGAGTTTCGAGCCGAAGTGCTCTCCAACAAAGCACATCCCGCGGCATCGTCGGTAGCATGGTCCTATAGAGTTCTCTAACTAGGGTCACACATACATCTAACCTCCTCACCTACCAAGGGACCTGAAAAAGAAAACGCACGAAAGCATCTGAGGGGCTGCACTCGCTGGAACTGACAACCCTTTTTGCTTGAAAAGCCGACGCATTCCGAGGGTCAGACAAGTTAGGTTCTGGGTCTCAGCACCGAGGCCTCTGTGAACTCAAGAGCGGTTGCGCAGGTGTGCGCAGACGTGCGGTGATGTGCGCAGCGGGGGCCTGAACCGGAGCTGTGCACCCAGGGTGGGGCCTGAGGCCGGGGGCCCAAAAGCGCGCCCCTAAGACCTTCGCCACTTCTTCAAGTCTCGCCAGGAGCGCGGCTTGCAAAGCCGTCACCCCAAGCCACGCAAGGGCCCTACAGAGAGGAGGTCCGAGTCCTCCTGGGCGTCGAGCTGCGAAGGCGGGGCGTCTCCCGTAAAGCTGGCCAAGATCTTCCCTGCGCCCTGAACACAAGCGATACGAGGGCTCAGCCGCAAGCCAGGGCGCAACCGCCCCCCCCTCGTCCCCCTCTCCGCCACGTAGGCCCATTCAGCGATCCGTATCCCACGAGTCCTGCCACCGAGACCTCGTTGCTCACTCGGGGGCAAGGCATGGGGCACCATGTGACACGCCGATGCTTGCTGGGAGGGGCATCGCGCGCCATGCAAGATAGGGGCATCGGTTGTCACGCTGAGTACATGTCGAGCACAGTATCGAGCAGAACTCCCCGGGACGCCAAGCCTATTGAACCCGAGGCTTGTCATTGTGGGCCTGATGCGGAGCCGGGCGCAGAGTGGCACATTTCACAGAGATCACCGGAGCCCTATAAAGAGGGGGTTAGGGCCTGGGCGTCTCGGAACACTAAGCGGCACGCTGAGGTGAGCCGGGATGCTGATCTTGGGCTACAAACATGAAAGCGCGATGAGCATGCTCAGAACTGAGGGAGAGCCAACACCCGGCTTAGAGAAGCGCACATGTGGGAGGTCGGGATGGCCAGCCATGGTTCTGCCGGAACCTCGCAACCACCCTCCGCGCCCCCTGTAACGCCCCTTTAAGGAGGGTTCTTTGGGTTTACAGGTGCACGAAAGCACTTCACAGCTTCAGTTTTAGCCCAGGAAATTCGCCCGGCTCCTGTGTTATCTCCTCTGTTGCAAGTGCAGCGTCGCAGGGCCCGTGTACGCAAAGCGTCAGGCCACCCCCTCGCTCCGTAGCTCTGCTAGCTGCCAGCGGGCACCTAAGGTTCTCTGGAAGTCCAGGTCAGAGTCCCTTTGGCCAAGTTGCAGGTGCAAAGCGCATCCACGCGCGGCGATGTGAGAGCCTAGTGCTCCGTTCTCCGTCTCCCCACCAGCCCGGCATCCAGGACAGTCATGCGCAAGTTGTGTTGGCACACGGTGATCCCTGCAGCTCTTGTGATCTTCTCAGGTTTCAGGGGACGGGACTAACTACCCACACATCGTTGGGTGTTGGGGTCCGAAGCGTATGCTTGGATACCTTGCCAGGGTGATTCTGCATGATGCCCGCATGACTCAAGGCCTACGGGCCCGCAGTGAACACGGAGGCATCGCAAGCCAGCACAACTAAGCAGGCACGCCCAAAACCCAACGCCTCGCCCTCGCGACGTTCTGGGCGGGAGGTTAAGCTATTGCACCAGCTATTGCACCAAATGCTTCCGACGCCAATGCTCCCGTAGAACCAGAACCCTTTGACCGAGAACTGACAGTGGCCTTGCTAGAACAGGAGGCTGCACGAGCTTGTCGGTCAGCTTCCATCCGCGACCAAACTTTCCCGAGCAAGCACGGACAATCGCGTGGTGGCTCGGAACTGACTGTATGTTCGACATGCTTGCCCATGCATATGCATGTGTCGTGGCGCTGCACACAGCAGCATAGAGGCCGTCAATGGGCTGACCTGCTAACTGCTATACCTGCACTACTGCCTGTGCGCTGCTTCAATTGACTTGACGACGGTCAACGAGAACCGCGACAGCAAGCTAGTCCGCAGGATGAGGATGTGCGGCGAATGCTGGCCAGACACCAACCCCAACAGGACGACGCACAGCTTGCAAGAGCTCATCGGCCCATCGTCCCCATCACAGCCCCATTCACGATCCGGATGGTCGCGTCGGTCGTGCAGGCGTCAGTAACTCGCAAGCCAAGCCATGGGATGAGGCAGCAACTGTGAACGGCGCACAGTGGCCAGCCCCACCCTCACATCAACCGACACTTACAGTGCAAGCTCCTGGCTCGCAACAGTGGGACACTGCAGGGTGTATCCTGGGCAGCTTGCCCAGCTGCCACCTTCAACTCATCCAAGCACAGACGGATGCGGTGAGCGCGCTTTTGACAGGGTCTGCGGAGATCCTTGGTCCTTGGTGCGTAGCAAGCCTCGACAGAACTGCTCCGGAGCGTGAACTTTGGCAATGTGCAGTGGTGGGCGCAGGGGTCCGCGTCGTGTGCCTGGATGCCTTGCAAGGGAGATTCTGCATGATGCCCGCATGACTCAAGGCCTACGGGCCCGCAGTGAACACGGAGGCATCGCCAGCCAGCATTATTAAGGAGGCACTGCACAAACCCAACGCCTTGCAGTCGGGACTTTTTGGGTGGCTGGTTAAGCTATTGCACCAAGTGCAATGGACGACGCCAATGCTCCCGTTGAACAAGAACCCTTTGACCGAGAACTGACACTGGCCTTGCTAGAACAGAAGACAGCACGCGCTTGTCGGTCAGCTTCCATCCGCGACCAAACTTTCCCGGGCAAGCACGGACAATCCCGTGGTGGCTCGGAACGTACGGTATGTTCGACTTGCTTGCCCATGCCTATGCATCCATCGTGGCGCTGCGCGCGGCAGCATAGAGGCCGTCAGTGGGCTGACCTGTTTGCTGCTATGCCTGCACTGCTGCCCATGCACTGCTTCAATTGACTTGTCAGCTCCGAGATGGACGACAGCAAGCTAGTCACGTAGGACGAGGATGTGCGGCGAATGCTGGCCAGACACCTGAATGAACCCGAACAGGACGACGCACAGCTTGCACGAACTCATCGGCCCATCGTCCCCATCACAGCCCCACTCACAGTCCAGACGGTCATCTGGGGACTGATTCTCTCATCGCTACCTTGGCTTCATGGTGCCCCTAATGCTAAGAGCCTCCTGTCCAAGCCACGAAGGGGATGAAGAGAGAGGGACGTGGGGAGCTGCCGCCCCGTCATATGGAGCTGTCGTTCAAAAGGCCCCCCGCCGGGAGTCCCGACTCTGACCTGACTCTCGGAGCTCTTAGACCGCAGAAAGGTTTCAAAGATTTTGAGGGGTGCCTATTTTCGAGGAGGCCTAAAGGCTGCTGGGGATGCCAGATAAGGGAACCCTAAACCCTAAACCCTAAACCCTAAACCCTAAACCCTAAACCAGGAAGTATTCGGGTATTCCTCATGCGGATTGGGCAGGGGCGCGACCTTGGTGCTCTTTCGGCTACAGGGAGGAGTCGTGAAGAGCTAAGGAGCCGCTGAAGGTGCCCAGGTGGTGGAAAAAGGCAGCCTCCACCCTCAACTTAGGGGTTTGGGGTTTAGGGTTTAGGGTTTAGGGTTTGGGGTTTAGGGTTTAGGGTTTAGGGTTAAAGGGACCTCTGCCCTAAGGTTGAGGCCCATGGAGTCATGCCCCTAAGGTTGAGGCCCATGTCTCAAAGCGGAGGGCAGGAAGGGCACCCTGCCGCTCAGCGTGTCAAGGCTTCAAGCGCTTCTCTCTTCTTTGAATGAGACCTAGAAACTTTCTGGGGCTCCTCTGAGGCTCAGGCCGCGCAGCTGGGGGCTCTTCCGGGCCGAATGAGTTTGTTCTGTGCCTGTTTTCGCGGGAGAGGGGGAGGGGGGTCCCCCTTTTGAGAAACGTGGCACCCGAAAAGGATGGACCCAAAAGAGGGGCCTTTAGGGCTCAGGGCCTTCAAAGGGCATATGAGTAGAGAACCGCCCATCTGAGCACCACTGGTGCTCGAAGCCTGACCCTACCTCGTTGGGCCTTCAAGGTGTGGCTCTTAGCCTTAGCCACTGTTGGGGTTTAGGCGCCTTTAGGAGGCTGGGGAGAATTTTTCCTAGAAAGTGCAGGGGGCTTGGGTTATATAGCTGGTGAGAAGCTCGCAACTCGCCTCTCAGCGCTGAGATGCAGACTCAGGCTTAAAAAGGCAAGATTCACCCGCCTGGAGCCAGCTTCCTCCTGACATCGTTTAGCGGTTGTGAGAATTCTGGGGGAGGTTCTTTGGGAGGTGCTTCGATTTCCCCCCCCCCCCCAAAGCCTGCCAGGGCCGATCTG